ACAGCAGAAGATGGCTCAAGTTCTTTAGCCCCTGCCACTCACCTGGGAGATCTAGGTGGCATTTCCTAGCTCCTGACATTAACCTGAGATTGGCTGCTGTATACATTTTGGGTGTGAACCAGTAGATAAAAAAAAAAAAAACTCTTTCCTTCTCTCCCCCTCCCTCTCTTTCTTTATACCTCCAATATTCAAATAAATAAATAAATAAGTCTTAAGCATATTTCTGGGCTGTATTTATCACATCAAATACCTGTAGCTGAAACTCCAAAATCCACACTTTTATTAAGCCCCTATTCTTCCAGAAGGTGACAGGATCTGACCTTAAGACATGATTTCTCTGTTGTTATTTGAAGTATATTTTCACAAACCCAGACTGATGAGAACAATTGATGGGAACAAACATAATTGAGGATAAATTGCTTATGTCTTCATTTTTTTAATGTGTTCCCAAGGGCATATTTCTCAGGCTATGATCAAGCGTAATGGAATTACAATACAAACATCTCTGTGAAGTATGTTTACAGGCTAATATGCTCACCTGTCTCATAGCAGGGCTGGGCGAGAGAAGCAGAACCCATGACACCTCCCAAAGCTTCCTGGTCTCTGGCCAGGTGCCCCTGCAAAGTTGCAAGATAACAGCTCTAACCAGGGAGCTTTTGAGTCAAACTCTATGCACCTGCTGACTTTCTAAATATCCACTCCCCCTCTCCCCCGCAAAGAGATAAAGAAGAAACTGACATGGAGAATCTAGCTGCAACCTGAGAGGGGAGGTGTAAGTAGAGGTAGCACAGCTTAATATTAGTAAATCTTTATTGGAGGGAGCATGTTCTGTATGATCCAGCACCCTTAGGTTTCCCTTTTGAAGATCAAGTGTCTGAGGCACCGAGAAATTAAGTAACCTACCTAAAGTCACACAGCCTCCAGGCCTCGGTTGGAATTTGAACTTGGGTCTAGACTGACAGCAGCACCAGTCATCTCCATCCATTATGTATGTGCCGTCTCTTCCAGATCTAATACTTGAAAAATTCCAAGTGCCTGTTAGAAAGATTGTTGCCATTGAATAATCCTCCCTGGACACTTGGATCTCGAATGACACAGAATCTAAGGGTCAGTGATTTGTCTGATCAGTGAGAAAGAGTCCAGTGGTTGACTATGTGACCTTGGGCAAATCACTTTTTTTTTAAAAAGATTTATTTTTATTATTATTTTTTTATTGGAAAGGCGGATATACAGAGAGGAGAGACAGAGAGGAAGATCTTCCGTCCGATGATTCACTCCCCAAGTGAGCGCAACGGGCCGATGCTATGCCCATCCGAAGCCAGGAGCCTCTTCTGGGTCTCCCACGCGGGTGCAGGTTTCCAAAGCTTTGGGCCGTCCTCGACTGCTCTCCCGGGCCACAGGCAGGGAGCTGGATGGGAAGAGGGGCCGCCAGGATTAGAACCGGCGCCCATATGGGATCCCGGGCGTGCAAGGCAAGGACCTTAACCACTTGCGCCACCGCGCCGGCCCGGCAAATCACTTTTGCTCCTGGATTTCAGCATCCAATTCTGTAACAGAGAAGGGTCAGAATATGTAATCTCCAAAGGCCTTTCCTCCCTAAGGCTCTGTGACTGTATCAGGTGTCTAGGATGATCTCGTAAGCCTGCCAAGGAAGTCCTTTCAGAAACCTTTCTTCTTGGGCTGTGTGGGCAAACGATGTTCTCTGTTTCTGTGGGCATAGTGTGTTCTGAAGCAGACATGTTTATCGAGTTCTTCTTTTTGTTCTAGCTACCAAACATATGGAGCAGAAGACACAGATAGCCCTTGCTTTCCAACAACACAGCCTCTAGTGGCAGGAGCAGATGGCAAACTGTTGTAAAGATAGCTATATGACAGACCATTTGAGTCACACTGCGAGTACAGGCTGCCCTGGGAACAGATAGGAGTAACATTACTTAGCCTGCTGATTGGCCAAGGCAAGGAAAGTCTTCCTGACTTGAGTTCCTCTGCACAGCGAAGTCTAGAAACGGGGGATTGAAAACAGAGGGGAAAGTTTTTCTCTGCTGTGCCATGAAAATCACTTGGCCAGCACTGGCTCCAGCTGGAGAGGTCAGAGTTCACACAGGTCAAAGGGAAGCTTATGTAATAATGGTTGGAATGTAATGCTGGTGTGCTTTTTATAAATGTGTGCTCTTTTCTTCCTCATCTGTGGGGTTAAAATCTGTTTTCATGAACTCTTCGTTCAAAGGGTAAATAGTGGCCACAGAAGAAGGCTGTTTCATTTCATTTTGTCCTGAATTATTAAGCATCCTCTGTGCTAACTTGTCATATCACAGGATTCCAGCTTGGGAAGAAAATACGAGCACATATTGTTCTATGGCCACCACATAAATTCCACAGTCTAGAAAGGTCTTTGAACAATTTCATTTCCATTAAGATCATGAGACAGATAAGAATGCCTTTGAATGTTAAGCATTCCACTGAAGGGAATTTCTAGCCTTAATTGGTCACTCTTTTAGTTTCTAAAAACCTTTTTCTATTCTCCTATTTAAACCCTTCTTTCTATTAGTGCCCTTCTCTTGTCCTGTGGCCTCACTGACTATTGAGAAAAGCAGGGATGCCATGTGTCAGACAAGCCTAAAGACTCCTTTGAGACCTTCCTATATGATTCATCTGGAGGCAAAGTGGCCTTATTAACTTCTAAGAGTCTGCATGGACTCTTCCTTGACGAGAAATGAGAAGTGAAGGGAAAGCCTGCAGTCTTGGGGCAGCCTGCCTGTCCAGTTTAGCCCTAGAGCTGCAGACTATAAACATGCCATTCACTCGTTGCTGACCAAGCACCTGCTCTGTGCCAATTCTTGATCAGTTTCTTTAGCCACATCCCGTAACCTTTGGCGTGGCACCCCGGTATCCATAGTGTTTTGGTAGATTTCTTTTGCTTTCAAATAGCAGATTCTCAAAAGGGAGTTTATTATAATATAAAGAAAATGGGCTTGGGAAGTCATCTGGAAGGACTGGCTCCTCATCCTTAGCTCTTTCAGGGAAAGTGTGGGGGTTTCGTCATAACATGTCTGAGTCCCATGCTCCTCTTTCTTCTCTCCCTCTATCAATCCGCTTGTACAGCCTTCTGAGAATTGTTATCCACTCATTAAATTCATTTCAAACATTTCTGTTTATTTGCTTTCCTTCTGTTTATTTGAAAGCTATAAAGACAGAGAAAGAAAGATTGTGTGTGTGTGTGTGTGTGTGTGTGTGAAAGAGAGAGAGAGAGAGAGAGAGAGAGAGAGAGAGAGAGAGAATGTGTGTATATGTGTGAGAGAGATTTCATCTCTGTCTTCACTCCCCAAATACTTGCAACAGCCAGGACTTGATCAGGCTGAACCCAGAAGCTAGGAACTCCATCTGGCTCTCTCACATGAGTGGAGCAGGGACCAAACAACTTGAGTCATCATTTGCTGCCACCTAGGGTCTGTGTTAGCAAGAAGCTGACGTTGAGAGTGGTTCCAGGTCTTGAATGCAAGAGCTCTGACGTGGGATAGAAGTGTCCCAAGCAATGTCTTAGCCATTAATTACACAGAGTGCCCACTCTGACTAGCAATTTCAAATTGAATTTAATTTCAGCTTGACACAGAATTGACTCTACCTGTCTGTGTTTTGTTGTAACTGTATTGCTAACTAGCTCAGTATCTTTATGGTTTCTTTTTTTAGTCTTATTTAATTTATAAGACAGAGGGAAGGTGAGAGAAAAATGATAGATAGAAGGCTGATGATTATAGATAGATGACAGGTAGATGATTGATAGGGAGACATATGATAGATGATAGAAATCTTCCATTCACTGGTTGCTTCCTCAAATGGCTGCAATGACAGGGATAGGTTTAGGCTTCTAGAGTTTCATCCGGGTCTCCCACTAGGATGGCAGGAGTCCATGTATTTTGGCCATCTTCTGCCGCTTTGCTAGGTACATTAACAGGGAGCTGGATTGGTAGCTGAGCAGCTACGACTCAAACCAGTGCTCTGATCTGGATCTGGGATGCAAGCATTGTAGGTAGCAACTTAATGCACAGTGGCCCCTATTTTTTTTAATTAAAAATTTTCAGAAACAAGTAACTGACCCAACTCATTTTCTTTTGTGCCACGTTACAGTGCTACCTACTTGGGGCCAGCCAATGAATTGATTGTTTGTGTGTCAGATGTCAAACTTTGGTCCAATTTGTTAAGGCCAGAGGCAGGGCAGAGTCATCCAAGCAACTGACATTAGCAGGCAGCATCAGCAAGCAGGCGGGTTTCTATTTGTGTTTGGAAGAGGACAATTATCACTCAAGTCAAGCAGTTTTTCTGAAGTGACTAAATAACCTAAACAAAAGGGGGTTAAGGGCTATACACATCACAGCATGTATCAGGAGATTACAAAGCAGGATCTTCTTGGCATAGAGCTAGAACAGTTTCTCAGAGACAGAATGTGATGCCCTGATTGCCAGGAGAAGCCAAGTCAATTTGTGTACTTCATGTAACTCTCAGCTTGGCAGTTAGCAGCGAGTTACAGCACTCAAATCCTACTTTCAGCTAGTAACAATGTGCTTGATGCTTAGGAAATCTCAATTTTAGGAAACAGTAGTTGGCTCTACATTGTTATTCTTTAATAACAAAGTTAGTCCAAAGTAGAAGAATTAGAAAGTTAGTCCAAAAGTAGAAGAGATTATAAAAGCCAAATTAGCCTTCCAAGTCATTGTTAGAAATAGTTTTGGCTTTAGAAAGCATGTTGATCTGTCCTAATTTCCAGTGTTGCCTTTTTTTTTTTTTTCATGAGTTATCCCCTATGCTGTCTACAGTACCTCATCACCTGTAGTATGGCAAAGAGATTCTGTTAAGTTGGCAGCATTATAGACATTCATGGTCAACCTGGAAGCATACGCCTTGAGTGGAAGAGACAGCATTTGAGCTCAATTAACCCAGAGCTGATGTTAGAGTGATGTCTGTTCTATAGTTTTTTCTACCTGTGTGTATGCTTTTCTTTCTAGGCCTGTTGATAAGCTCCGGCTGTGCATTATATCCCCTAGGATGGAATAGCCCGGAGGTAATGCAAACATGCGGGAATGTCTCCAATCAATTTCACTTGGGTAAGGTGGCCTGCACAAGGTGGCAATGATGGTTTTCAGGAAGCCTGTTTTTCAAAGTGCTTTATCTTATGGAGGTACTTGAATATCTCTTTCACCCTGGTAGCTTGTGGAAAGTGGCGGTTTGGTCACATCCATCTGGCCATGCTAACTCACAAGGATAGGGCATAACTTCCAATCTTTTAGTTATCTCTCCATAAACGTTGTGCACTTCTTTGACCACTTTGTGACAACCATATCTACAGAGGATTTAAAACACATGGAGACTAAAGATTTGTCATCTTATGAATAAGTCCCAGTTGCTATTAGTACTTCTGTTTAGGCACTATTTAAAGAAAAGAAGGAAAGAGAGAGAAAGAGAGAGAGAAAGAAAAGTAGGAAGGAAGGAAGAGAGAGAGAGAGCATTTCTTATCAGTTTGTACTGAGGATATAGCAAGTGATATTTCAGTTTATACACACCATGAGGAACTTAGGTCAAATATTGGAAATTGTTCCTAATGGCAACAACTACTAAATTGAATTTCAGAACGCTCATGGCAAATGGAATTAGAAGGTGAATTTACTTGGGTGCAAGAAAATTTTGAAACCCTTGCACAGACAGGGTCTTTAAAATGTTCATATAAAATGTGCATCATGAAAAAGTTATGCACAGATTCCAGCTTCCATGAGTTTGTTTAACATTATTTTACAAAATAAAACAGTGCATATGATAACATTTGAAATCCAAAGTCAATCATTTTTCCATACTGTGTCACCATTCACCAAAGGAATATTTTTTATTTTTCAGATTTTTTTTCAATTTTTATTTTTTGATCATGTTTACATAGTTGATTAGGGTGATAAGAGTCAGGAAGGTGGGAGTGAGATCGCCATTTCCACAATCTCTCTCTCTCTCTCTTTTTTTTTTCATTCCTGTATCTGGGAGAAGGGGGGAGACAAGGAGAGAAGCCACACCCAGCCTCCCAAATGACTCTGCACCCAGGGTCCAGCCATCCGAAACCACACCAGGGTCCCCATTGCGGGGCATGCTCTGAAGGTCTTGCTCAAGAGATTTCAATAGTTCAACAGTTCTGAATTACTGCCAATTTCACCAGTCCAAGCATGATGAAATCTCTCCTGAATCCACTGGTTGACTTAGTCCATTGGCCCAGATATTCAGTGCCAACACTTGGCTGGGGTAGTTGATTGATTTGTTCTGTCCTCCATTTTCTGTTAGGGTACCAGGCGTCCACTGCAGACTCCAATGTACTTCTATGTTCTCCATGTGCACCTGGATATGCTGTCCACTGCTCTGTCTAATCCACCGAGGAGGCCCAGCTCTGACATATGCACTCCACGATCAGATCACAGAACCTGCAATTCTCTCGATGATTGGGGTTCTGAGTCCAGCAATTCAGTTGGGGGGATCCCCAAAGAAACTTTATCTGAGGTGATCCCAGACCTGATTCTTTTGTGTGCCTGTCAATATGGGTACAACATGTAGGCTGTTGCCCCAATCAGCTTATGCACATGCTTGTGGTTGCAATTGCTGGGTCATTTCTGCCTCCAGCTCTGTCTTCTACACAAACCAATGGATGTTGCAGCTGAGCTCAATCCTGCCCGTCACACACTTGGCATTTATGTTCGCCAGTGGGAGATGCCGCCTAGTAGGAGCAACTCACAATAATTCCCATCAGGCCCGCCCCTGCCCTGTTTTTCTCATGCTCGCTAGTATGTGTAAAAGACTGGCCCAATCTGCCCCACATCCCATTCAGCTCTCATACGTGTCAATGGGCATTGAAGCCTAGTTCAACCCAACTAACCCCACTATCCAGCCCATACATGTGCTGGTGGGTGCCACTCTCTGTCTAGTCACACTTGCCCCAGTCCTGGTTCTCATGCTCACAGTCAGAATGGCAACCCAAGAGGGAGGTGCCCACTGTTTCCCTACTGGGTCCACTCCTACTCTAAGATCTTGCACTCTCCAGGTGGTTCTGTAGTTTACCTTGACAGAATTTGCCACTCTCCTGCCATGCCAGCATCTGCCAGCTGATGGTGCGGCAGGGCCCAACGAACCCACACCCACTCTGACTTATACCACCCTCCTGCTGTGCCAGCATCTGCCAGCTGATGCTGCGGCAGAGCTCAACCAACCCACACCCACTCTGACTTATGTATGCACCAGAAGGAACAGTCTGCCCAGCCTGGCATTTCCCTACTCCAGCTCATGTGAGGCCAACAGGTGTTGTAGCCCTGCCCAACCTGGTCTGCCCCCATGCCAAGTCACACTATCCAGTGGGTATGGTGGTCCAGCAGGGGAGCTCCTCACAGCCTCCTACCAGCTATGCCCCCTCCTTGGTCTCACGTGTGTTGGTTGGGGTTCTGCAGCCTAGTCTAGCATGACCAGCCTCACATCAACATTTGCCAGTGGATGCTGTAGCCTGACCAGCCACAGCCCACCCCCAATTCCAGCTCATCCTGGTGGGAGCTACAGCCTAGATTAGCCTAGCCAACTCCCAGTCCCAGCCCTCATATGAAGTGGGTCGTGGTGCCCCATCCTGACCCAACCTATACTCCATTCTTTTGCTCAGATTTGCCAATGTGTCATATGAACTGGCCCAGCCTGGTTTGCCCCTGATCTGCGCCAAATTTATGCTGTTGGGTACCATTCCTTGGTCTAAGCTGGTCTAAGCTGCTCTATCCTCACCAGCAGGGACTATGTTCTGCCAGAGGAGTTGCCCAAACTCCTCCATCAGAGCCTCCTAATGCCAGATCTCACACCCATTGGTGGGTCCATGAACCAGCCCTACTGAGTCTACTTAGTCTACCCCTTCTGGCCTTCATCCATTCTCGTTTTCACTGTTGGGTGTTACAGCCCAGCCACGCCTGGTTGTCACCCAGACACAGCTCACACAGGAGCGAAACCTAGCCTAGCCTAGCATGTTCTACACCAACCCTGGTTCTCATGAGCACCAGTGGGTGTTAGAGCCTAGCCCAGTCTGGCTCAGCCTAGATCCAGTTCACACATATATTGAGGGACACTGCAGCCATGTCCAGACCAGATAGCAGCCCTGACTCTGACCTTTACACTCACTATGGTAAACCACAACCCAGCCAGGGTATACCCTTTACTCCCCAACCAGGCCTGATCCCAGCCACAGATCTTGCATGTACCAGTGGTTGTTCTGACCCAGCTTGGCATAGTCCCTTACCTGTCTTGGCCTTTGCCTTTGAATTCTGAGGCCTGACCTGACACGGCCTGACCCCAGTCTCAACTCTCACTGGCGGGTGCTGCAGCCTGGCCCTGCTCAATCTGCTCCCATCCCTTGCTTATGCAAACTAGTATGTGTGACAGCCTAGTTTGTCATGATCTGTGCTCCAACCTGATTTCATCACTTGCCTGTTAGCTAAGGTTTGTTGGGCCCTGCCCAGTCTGCCCACTTCAAAAACCAACCCACACATTTGCCATCAGCTGGAGATACCTTGTCCAGCTTACGTGACCCGCAAGCCTGGACCATAGATCACCAGTGGAAGCTATGACCTACTAGGGGAGTTTCACACGTTCCCCCATTTGGCCTACTCCCAGACCCAGATCTCACGCATGCCAACAGGTGTTAGACTCTTACCTGGCATAATCTGCCCCTCCATCTTGGCCTTTTATGAGCTGGTAAATATTGTGGCCTGGCCCACCCCAAACACTGTTTTAGGATGCACATGCGGATGTTGTATCTTGGACCTTCCCAGACTGTTCTTGGTCCCTATACTGGTGAGTGTGGCAGATTCCATGTTCATACCTAGTTCAGCCAGCCCATAATCACCCCAACTCTTGAGCTAACCAGCAGGACTTGCATTTCTACTTGTATTTCCACATATCCCCCACAGAATCTGCTCCTGGACCTAGTTCTCTCACGTGCTGGTTGGGTCTTGGCCCTGCCTAATGTGACCCATACCCTGTTCTGACATTCATTCCAGTACTGGGATCTAGCCCTGATAGACAGGCGCTTAGCCCTAGCTTTTGCGTGGACCGGCATGTGTTGATCAGCAATGTTTCATGCTAACAAGCCCTACTCAGGATTCCCATGTGGGCTGGTGTATCAGTCTGACCCATTCAGATGTTCCAGTTTCTCCACTCCAAACTACCTCACTTACCTGCAAGTACAGTGGCCCTAACATACACATACCTTATCCATGGATGTCCCTAGGCAGTAACTCCACCCCCTCAAGATCCCAGAGCTTGTCACTGGGCTGCCATCGGGTAAAGCCTGGTGCTGGTTGGCGCTGTGGTCACCCACAAGGCCTGAATTCGCCTACCGCTTGGCATCAGTAGCTGGGGCTAGGGCCTCAAGCATCGAGTCCTACCTGGCTCAGATGCCCCCAGCAGCTGCCACATTGCCGGAAGGCTCATCCATCTAAGCCCCGGGGACAAATTCCTTTCAGAAGCTTGTACATTCTCCAGAATTTTTGATAAATATAAAAGGTATGTTTCCAACTGGGATCATATGATCTCTCTACCTATCTTGCTGGCTATTTTGTTCTATGCTTTGAGCTGTTCACTCACTCATATCGCTCGGAGAGTCACTAATTTTTTTTTTTTTCTCTTCTAAGTTTGAGGCATGCCATACTTTTTCATTCAAGGGATAGTTAATCTTTCATAAGGGCAGAGATTTATGTTTGTATTGTTCATTTCTGTCTCTCTAGTACTTTCTCGGGCAGTACTAAGCTGTAGGCATTGAATATTTATTGAATGATTAAATAATAATTTAGCAATTCCATCATTTATGTACATTTATGTTGCCTCTAGTCATTGGATTTTACAAAATGTATTTCAGTGAATTACCTTATTTATGTCTCAGTCTAGTAGTATTTATGTAGGATAAATTCCTAGGAGTAGAATTATTAGGTTATAAGTTGTATCTCTTTAATATTTATTTGACAGGGATGGAGGGAGAGAAGAGAGATTGAGTTGTAGATGTTTCTTTTTGCCACATTTTTAGAAATGTTACAACTCTATTGTGGTATAGTTC